TATTGGTAAATATTTGGAGCATAACGCAGATTTAGCAAAAGATGCACACTTTGAGTATCCTACAGTGAAGCTAAACAACAATACTGGAATGATTGTTTAATAGACCAGGTCCAGTGTCGCAACAACACCAATGTAGAAAAACAAATTGCAATGTTCTTGAAAGTAATTCAAAATCTATAGATTTATCAATCAATTTGTAATTTTGTACAAAATAATAAAGAGTGAAAACAATATCGTATCTGGCTTTCATTCTGTTCCAAAGATAGATGATATTTCGCGTATTTTCCCTAGAATTGATTTAAGTAGCTGTACAGACAAGTAGAAATGGCTTCATCTTACTCCTACTTATCCAGAGCCACGGAATTGTCTAGGGTTAGGTGTTTGTAGTTTGCATCAAGATATTATTCATACTCGAAAATCTGCAAAAAGTAAAGCTCAAGAATTATAGAAGAGTATCAAATAAAACATTAATATGCGGAAGGAGGATATAGTGTAGATGCTTGATGTCTGTCAAAAATGACGTGTCCGTCAAACAATATACTTTGACAAACAAAATGGCAGACACCAAAAGTGAAAGGGTTCATAATGCTGTACACGACGATGCAATATGGTAAATTTATCTTACACTAGGAGACAAACCATTCGTTACGAATCCAATACTGCGAGTAATTGGCAAAAGAATTGGGGGTTTATGCAACAGGCAATGATCGAAAATGTAATTATTACTAATATAGCAAAACATTGCAAAGAGAGAGAATACATATAAAGTATCACATCGTCCTACACTTCCTGCAATTACTTCAAATGATAACAGAGTTACAGGGCTCCCATCAATCTTACCTCCAGGTTTGGACGATGAGAGAGATGGGATTGTATCAGATTGGATGTATACATCAAATATTCCTAGAATTATCAAATATAGGTACCCAGCAGAGAAATACAAGATGCCAACAACAACCTCGCATGAAATTGGCTGGCCATGGCAGAGCGAATCTGTAAGGCCTATAAAGAAAATAGGAAATACTATCAGCTACAACCGAACTAAAATACCTCAAGCCAGTAGTTTAGAAGTGTACGGAAAGCATGCGAGAGGTCAAGGCGATGTATTGAAATGGTTTGGAGGTAGGGAAGCGCTTCCTTGAAACTACAAGATAAATTGATTTATAATCTATTTGGATATTCAATTTTCAGTTTTTCAATTTTTTATTGTTGCTGAAACCATCTTTAAAATTCTTCTCGATGTTACTATAAACCCCCAGTGATCTTGCTCAGCGTGTGCAACTATTCCTTGGTGTACTTTCAAGTACTCTTGCAAGTGATCTTGGCTGTCTACATGATAATGAACTGTGAAATAAGCTTTGTTATCTCCTTCCTCCGACAGCCAATGCAGTCCAGCTAAATTAGATAAATTTACTTGGTTTGGGTTGTGAATAAACTACCGCATGAGTAAATCCTGATACCGTCTGGCAGACATTTAATGTAAACTTTTCCAACCATTCTTGGTATGCATCTGCTTTTGCTTTAGGGATCGAAAGGTTTACTTCATATATAATTGAATAATCTGGTATTGAGGCGGTGGAGACTTTCTTTTCCATTTGAAATTGAAAAAAATTGCATCTCCAACCACGCAGTCTTCAAATGAATGTAATCCTAACCACTGGACCAATTCGGATGTTGTCTTGATTTTCGAGATTCAAATTTTGAGCTATACATCATTGTAAAAAGTAATTTGTTTTTCTATATCAAATGCCAAGTGCAAAACATAACTTGAAAACAATTATCAATTTGATTTTGTTCATAGTATTACGTGTTTATTCGCCATTGGATGAAAGGCTACCGCCTGACCTATTTGCATCTTCCCTGACGGCAGCAAGTCGAGGGTTAGGAAGTGTTCCTTTTGGGGTAGTTGGAGTACTGAGTGAAGGACTCATTACACTTGATTTGATAATTCCATCGTCCTTTGAATTTTCTCGAACAAAAGTTTTCTTTTCGAAAGCAGCAGAAGACCTTCTCCTTCCCAGATATACGGCTGGCGGCGCTGGATTTACATCATCTTGAATCACTAATTTTGGAATCTCATCATTATTGCTTTGACTGTTAAGTTTTGGTTTAGCATTTGCATCTTTGATTGAAGTTCTTCTTCGTAATTTGCTCTCCATTTTTAGTCTTTTTTCCTCCCTCTTGAAATGCTTTTTTAAAAAGATAATCTTGTGCTTTTGCCCATACTTGACTTCTTTCACTTCGTTTTCTAGTGTATCAATATCAACTCCAAAATAGATCTTCATTTTGCCAAGTTTCTTTGATAAATCTGCATCTAATGATTCAGTATTTGGGGAGTAGCTTTCAAAAATAACGCTGGTTTCTTTTGCAAAGGCAGCAGCCATACCCATTTTCGTCGACATTGAAATATACGCTACGTCAGTCGCCATATTGATTTCAAACATTAAATACATCCACCACACGTTCATTGAACATACTGCCATTAAGATAATCAGTAAAACTTGAATAATTGTCATCCATACTAATGGGACATTAAAAATGCCGGCACCTACTTCCCCATAGTAGTTACAGTTTGCAATTAGAGTAGGATCAAATTGCATAAGCACATAATGCGCTGGAGTTGCAAGTGCAACGGAGATTCCTTTCCACATTTCAGTTTCATGATAGTAACCGTCAGGTAAAGTAGCTTCCGAAATAATATTCGAAAACGCAGCACCCTGACTTGGTTCAAATTCTCTCCCATTATAGACGTATTTTAGTACATCCTGATAACGACTTGTAAGATCATATTTATCGTCTGTCGTTTAATGTCCCCTTACCTTTGAGTTGGTCAAAAAACTCTATAAATGTCCTACCCGTGGATGCCCGTGCTTGAATGGTAGATGTGCCAACTTTAATTTCCTCTATACCGTTGATTGTAACCATCTGCCATTCGTCAGAAACAAAGGACATTCTGATATCCCCTTTTCCAAATTTAGTTATGAATGTACAATCCTGATATACACCAAATCCAATATCTACGTCAGATTGAATAGAAGCATTAGGAAGAAAGACAGTTATTTTCCCTTCCAAGATATTGTTGGTTTTCGAGCTTTCGGTTAACCAAACTTTTGTATAATTCGCTGTAATATTATGGGCTGGATATGGATAAGCACAAGATGTAAATATTGCGTAAGCAAATCCTTCCCCATCCATTGAAAATAACGGATATGGATTTAACATTGGCCATGAACTCCAACCGCCAATCAGTCCATCCTCCAAAGGTATTCCAAATTGATAAACCAAAGCAAAGTCAATATCCCCTTGCATAAAATCACCCAAATTTGTATAAATAGGTGAAGCAGTTGGATATGTTGCAGGAATACATTGCCCAGACATGAATAATGTCTCGGCGGGAACCCATTGATAATTTAGAGATAAGAATGACAATAGGATTCCCAAAACTACAGAAACAAAGAAAATAAATTGCCGAAGTCGTCCTCCAGGTGCATGACTGGACAGGTATCCTGACTGTATTTCGCTCACACTGGCACCTTTATGGGCGACCATAGAGCAAACTATTCCTTTATGTATGGACTTTAGCAATTGATTTCCACACATAAAGAGCAAGTGTCCAGATAATATAGTTCCGATATGGATGCCTGTGTTAATCTCAAGTACCATCATAAACATCGATGCTACGCAGCAATATACCAGGTATAAGCATTGTAGATGAAAAAATGAATATTGTAATAACTAAAAAGAAAGAAAATGTCATTATCAAGTTGAATCTGTAGCTGGCAAAATAGAATCTGATTTGCCTAACTGATGGCCACTCCCACATTATTTCTATCCTTTCTCTTGTTTTTATAATGAAATTCTTGTCTTCCTCATCTAGAGGCTCATCTTCAGAGTTTTCAGAAGATGCACGACTGTTTACACTCCCAGCTCTTCTCCGTAATTCAGAATTATTTCCTTTTTTGCCCGAATCACCTTGTACTGCAGTTTTGCTTGGAGCAAAAGTATAATCTAATTGATTTGTTTCTGATGGCGGTGCAAACGGATTGTATTCTTGATTTGGCAAAGTATCCTTTGTGAAGCTGGGACTTTTTACCATACTTAATTCAGGGGGAGCAAAGGGACTGCAAGAAAAATTTTCACTACTATTTCCAATACTGTCATTCAAATTTTGATGGCTTTCCTTCATTTCCTCATCCGCAACCAATACGTCGTTGGAAAAATGGATTGCTTTCTTCTCTAACCTTGTAGGCGAAGGCAGAGTTTCTCCAAAAGCGAAATAGTTTGTTTTCTGGTTGGTCGATTGTTGAATGTCTTTAGCAGATGCGCCTGGGGAGCGCAAATTGATAAAACGGCCACTGATTGGCTCATCTTCTGAAGATTCTTGCTTAACTGCTACCGAATTCATATCTACATTACAAGTATTAACTTTCAGATCACTTTCTGGCATATCGGAGTTGTGTCTGTGAGTTTCATTGATAAACTCTATTTGCTCAACCCTTTCTGGATTTTCAGCTAATAATTAAAATTATATACCTTCAAACGGGACACCCAATTCGGTTTCCAGGGGTTTCATATTCTCATCTGCAAAATGAATACCCCGTTGTTTCAGTTTTCCCTTAAACTCTGCAGCTAAAGGACTAGCACTAATTGGAGAGTTTGCATGAGATATTTCTCTTCCCTTTTCCGCCGAATTGGCTCTATTTCTGTGTCTGGGTTGTGGAGGAGTGAGGAATCCCTTATCTACTTTTGGATGTTCTTCCATTTCGACGCGTCAAAATGTGGAAAAAATAGTAGACAAAATGTCTACCATCCGATTTACTCTATTAGTGATCATTAGTTCCTTGGGAAATTAGATATTCTAAATTGAGTCAGAATATTCCGATCCCGTTACTCTTAGACAAACATTATAATTAATTCCAGTGACATTAGTGATCTTAGTTATCGTCAATCGAAAAGGCCTTGTAATCTAGTTATGAATAAATCAAAAAAAAATGAGATTTTGGAGGCTAAGGGGATTGAACCCTTGGCTTCTCGCATGCGAAGCGAGCACTCTACCACTGAGTTAAACCCCCCAAGAATGTAGGAACCGCCTCGATTTGAACCTGCGTCCTCGCGATCACAAAGGCACACTTTCGACTGTTCAGCCACACAATCTCGAAAATCCGAGAACCCTCTAATGCAAATCGAATGAAATAATTTATGAAAACTAATAATGGTGTTTTCCCTAAAGAAATAATGAATAAATAGTTGCTCAAATAGACTTACACTATATTATTCTTGCAATATTTATCATTAGTAGAAGGGTTACATATAACCAGATTTGCAGATCTTGGATAGACGAGTTTAGAATTACACTTGCCAAGCTTTTTACCACTACCTTGGGAATCAAGCAATGTAGAAAGTAATACTCAGCGAATCGCAACGTTAAAATCATTGTCTATGGGAAGAGCGATAAAACCTGTTGCACTGTGCTTTGCGGGATTGTTGCAGAATCCGCAGAGTCCAGGCCGCATCCAGCATAAAAGAGGTTTCTCTCTTTCATGTGCTTACTTAATCGACCCCACAAAGTCATGCGGCCAGTATAAAAAAGTTGCGAAAATAACAATTTTCAAAAAATTCTTTATGACTAGTGCAAAAGTGATTGATGGCAAGGCAATTGCAGAGTATTTCTATATGGTAACCGTAGCAAAATTAGAGCAAATCTTGCTCTTTCTGTGCAGGAGCTTGCCAAGATTAACGTAGTTCCTCAATTGGCAGTCATTCAAGTTGGCGATCGTCAAGACTCAAGCCAGTACGTTAGAATGAAACAACAAGCTTGCGCAAAGGTAGGTCAATGTTAAAAAAGATTGGAATGAAGTTCATCCATGAGATTGTCCCAAACACAATTACCGAAGGATCATTGCTAAATCTGATCACCAAAATGAATGAAGATGACTCCGTTCATGGGGTATTGGTTCAATTACCACTACCTGCTCATTTGAATGAAAAGATTATTACCGAAGCTATCTCTCCTCGTAAGGATGTTGATGGGTGAGTTTCCCAATAACACAGATTCCATGCGGTCAACATTGGAAAACTAGTAAAGAAAGATTCTTCACCAGACTTTGTTGCATGCACTCCCAAAGGTATCGTCGAGCTTTTGAAACATGAAAATGTTGAAATTGCAGGAAAGAGAGCTGTTGTAGTAGGTAGATCAAACATTGTCGGAATGCCAATCTCTCAATTATTACAGGCGCTAGATGCTACTGTAACAGTATGTCATTCTAGAACTGTTGGCATGGAAAATATTGTCAAGGATGCTGTAGTCTGAAATTAATATCAGGATATCCTTATTGTCGCTGCAGGAGTACCAAATCTTGTCAAAGGTTCCTGGATTAAGCCTGGAGCTGTAGTCATCGATGTTGGAACAAATGCTATTGAAGGTAACTTTCGATAACACAGATAGCACCAAGAAATCTGGTATTAGATTTGTTGGAGATGTAGACTACGAGTCGGCTTCTCAAGTTGCATCTTTGATTACTCCTGTTCCAGGTGGTGTAGGACCAATGACCGTTGCGATGCTTTTGCAAAACACCTTGGAATCAGCGGAAAGATACACCAAAGGATACAAGGCGCCAGTAGAATATCTATTCCCTGAACTAAAAACGCCTGTCCCAAGTGATATAGACATTGCAATGGCTCAAACACCAAAGAATATTCGCAAAATTGCAAATGAATTGGGATTGAGTTCTAGTGAATTTGAACCATATGGCCCATACAAGGCCAAGATATCTTTATCGGTATTAGAAAGACTTGGCCATCGTCACGATGGAAACTATGTTGTTGTTGCTGGTATAACTCCCACCCCTTTGGGAGAAGGAAAATCTACTACAACTATTGGTCTGGTTCAGGCTATCGGCGCTCACCTGAAGATTCCAGCGATTGCTTGTGTCCGTCAACCATCGCAAGGACCAACATTTGGTATCAAAGGTGGTGCCGCTGGTGGTGGCTATTCTCAAGTCATTCCAATGGACGAATTTAACTTGCATTTGACTGGGGATATCCATGCTGTAGTTGCAGCAAACAATTTGTTGGCCGCTGCAATTGACGCCCGTATGTTCCATGAAGCTACTCAATCAGATAAGGCGCTCTTTGATCGTTTGACTCCAGCAAAGAAAGGGGTGCGAACTTTCTCAAAAGTAATGTTAAAGAGATTACAGAAACTCGGAATCACTAAAACCAACCCTGACGATTTAACTCCTGAAGAGCAAGCTGCATTTGCACGATTAGATATCGACCCATCTACCATCACTTGGCAAAGGGTTATCGACACAAATGACCGATTTTTGCGTAAAATTACAGTCGGTCAAGGTCCACAAGAAAAAGGTCATACCAGAGAAACTGGATTTGATATTGCCGTTGCCAGTGAAGTTATGGCTGTTTTAGCTCTCACTACTGACTTGAAGGATATGAGAGAAAGATTAGGCAATATGGTAGTTGCTAGCAATAAGAAGGGTGAGCCAATTACTGCCGATGATATTGGTGTTGGTGGTGCTCTTACAGTTTTAATGAAGGATGCGATTAAACCAAACGTAATGCAAACTCTAGAAGGCACGCCAGTCTTTGTTCATGCTGGTCCTTTTGCCAATATTGCTCACGGAAATTCTTCAATCCTTGCTGATAGAATCGCACTTAAATTAGTTGGAACAAACAGCGATACTGAACAAAAAGGGTTCGTTGTAACTGAAGCTGGATTTGGAGCGGACATTGGGATGGAAAAATTCTTCAATATCAAATGTAGATACTCTGGATTGAAACCAAACGCTGTTGTCCTTGTTGCTACAGTTAGGGCACTGAAATGCCATGGTGGTGGTCCAGAAGTAGTAGCTGGCCGTCCACTTTCAGAGGTGTATCTTGAAGAAAATGTCGAGCTTGTTACCAAGGGCTGCTGCAATCTAATTAGACATATTCAAAACGTTCGCAAATTCGGAGTTCCTGTCGTTGTTGCTATTAACAGATTTAGCACTGACACTCAAGCTGAAATTGATGCTGTTAAAGCTGAAGCTCTTAAAGCTGGCGCTTTCGCTGCTGTCCCTGCAAACCATTGGGCTGAAGCCGGTGCTGGTGCTGTTGATGTCGCTAACGCTGTCAAAGAAGCTTGTGCTTCTCCGCAAGACTTTAAATTCCTTTACGATTTGGAATTATCAATCTATGACAAAATTGAAAAGATTGCCAAGGATCTTTATGGTGCCGATGGTATTTCTCTGTCACCATTAGCTCAACAAAAGATTGAAACTTATACAAAACAAGGATTTGCCAAATTACCAATTTGTATGGCAAAGACACACTTGTCGTTCTCCCATGATCCAAAAATCAAAGGTGCTCCAACTGGATTTACTATACCTGTCAGAGATATTAGAGCTTCCGTAGGCGCTGGCTTTTTGTATCCTTTACTGGGAGATATGCAAACTATGCCAGGCTTATCAACTCGTCCATGTTTCTTTGATGTTGATGTAGACCCTGAAACGGGTAGAGTTTATGGCTTATTCTAAATTCAATAAATTGTCCTCATGCTACAGTTTCTATAGTGAGTTATTCGTACGCACAAACTGAACACTTTTCCTAATGTGGTTACACAAGGCTTCGAGGTTCCACAAATGAAAATCCAAAAGAACAAAGAGGAAACTAAGCTTGATAAATTCTACAGGAGGATGGATAGTGCAAATCAATATCAGTTCATTTATATTCTATTGCATTGATTCACAAGAACGTTGGAGCGACCTAGCCTAAAAATGGGACGTGGCGGTCTCATTCCTAATTTAGAACAATCAAAGGACCTTTAAATTATAAATTTACTTTAAAGTAGAGCCAGGAGGGAAAAAGAAAGAAGAAATAAAATAAAGGAGCTTCGGAATCGATTTCACAAGTTGAATAAAGCCGTAGAGTCTCCTTTTCATTTCGAAACTATTGATAACCTTCTTTAGTACTTTTTCAAGGGACCCGGGCTCTGTGACCAGATCGGCGTCCTGAATATAAATGCTTTTATGGCTTCAATGCGTCTTTTCAGAAAATAGATTAAATGTTCGTAAACACCATCGTTTCACTCGCTGTCGTAGCTAACCAAGTAGCTGCCACCCAAGTTTTCCACCCAGTTTCACACCTTGTTAAGCGTTCAAAGACTTCCAACGGAGGAACTTACACTTATGGTCCAAACGGAAGACAATGCATCAACTCTCCTACTCCTGGAGATATTCCACAAACTAACCCAAACCCACCTCCAGCAGGTTCTGGCGGTTACGGTGGTAGTGCACCAGGCCCAGTCGGTGATGTTTACCAATCATTAGCTAATGCCATTGCCAACATTGATATGTCCAAGTTTGGTTCTGACGACCAATCTTGTCTCAACATGCACAACTACCTCCGTTCCCTCCTTGGTGTAGCTCCTTTAACCTGGAACTCTGACTTGGCTTCTCAAGCAACCAACTGGTCAAAGACCTGCGCCTCCCAAGATGTTCTTCACCACTCTGACTTGGCTTATGGTGAAAACGTTGGTATGACCAACGGAGAAACATACACCTGTGCTTCTGGTGTCTTGCGTTGGTTCGAAGAATACAAATCCTATGCTGCTGGTGTTCCTTCCAACTCTGAAGGATACCACGTATGGGGTCACTTTACTCAAGTTGCTTTCCCATCCACTCAACAAGTTGGTTGTGGTATGGCCACTGCTGCAAGTGGTGCTCAGTACCTTACTTGTGAATACTCCCCAGCTGGTAACAACGGAATTCCAGTTCCATTCACCTATATGGGTTAATCTTTTTCATAAATAAAACTTGTAGTTTCTTCAATAGAGTTTATTTCGTCATAGTATTTCTAACCGTGACTAGTGTCTGTACTTGTTTCGCATATGCCTATAATTCGGCTTTTCCAATTTCTTTCCTCGGACCCATTCTTCAATACTTTCATTCCAATAATTTCCTCTGAAATATTTTGACAGCATTGAACGAACAGAATATTCTGTTTTCAAGATGGGTATAACTTTATGGTTTCTCCAAGTCCAGATATTTTCAAATAGTGTAAGATGAAGCGGAAACAT